GGTAGTTATACCCCAACGTGCTTTGGGGATTTCAGGATTATCCTTAGTAATTTTTAGGCTATGTCGTTATATCCCGACGTGCATTTGAGATTTCGTTATCAAAACGCACTTCAGGATTTTGGGATTATACTTGGTCATTTTTAAGTGCGATAATTATGTCCCAACATGTGTTTGTCATTTAGTTACCGAAAACGCATGTCAAGGTTTCGGGATTTTACTTAGTCATTTTTTGGGTGCGTTTCATTACCGAAAACCCGCTTCGGGGCTTGAAAATTTTACTAAGTTATTTTTGGGGTATGGTAGTTATATCCCGACGTGTGTTCGGGATTTGGTTACCTCAAAAGTACCTCGGGTTTTCATAATATCCGACTTGTATAATACAAAAGAATAAACCTCTTAAATTTTTTTTTTCTAATTTTGATTTTAACTAAATTCATAATATAATTGAAAAAATATACATTTTTAATCCACTTTTGACTTAGTCTGACAAATAGCCATGAACCACTTTGGTAATGTAGGGTAAGATATAATTAACTAAACAAAAAAGTCTTCGAGATTGTACATTGGTAGGGTACATTGTGAAGGCAACAAACTGAGGAAGTTGAAACGCGTTTATAACTCTCCCAAAAATGACTTTAAAAGATGGCTAAGGGCATACTAACATTGATGTCCTTATCTTATGCATATGAGCTTTTGACCCTAATCGTGTCTATAGCTGAGTTCGAGAAAGTTATAGTGTGAGTATAAGCGTCGTTAGACACTCCTCGTAGACGTGAAATCCACAAGGACGCGCTCATTCCATTTGTCCTTGGGGATGAAATTGAAAAAAAAAGAAGTGAAAACACCACAAGGAAAATTCCTCCTTGTGGCATCCTTGTGGCCCCAACTGAACCGCGATTCATGGAGTGGCGAAAACATGCGTCGACGAAGAGTTTTCTTTTTTGGTGGCGTGGTTCGACGGTGTTAGCACGAACATCCCGCCCTCCAATGTTTGTGTAGTCCCCCAACGGGCTCCAACGGTTACTGTTGGCGCTCGACCTCCGTCGGGTGGCGTCGTCATATTCGAATGGCGTCATGCGGTCTCCTGCGCTCGAGGAACGTCCACAATGGTTATGAAATTTGAATATTTTCCCCAACGGCGCCTTCAGTCCGTCGATGGAAGAGCCTGGGGTTTTTACACGAGCGTTGTATTCCCTGGCGCGCCATCGCGTGTGCACGTCTGACAAGACTCTTGCTTTCGCTGCCCTCTCCGCCACCCTTTGCTGGACGTCCGACAATAGACTTTGCATTGCTGCCCTCTCCACCGTGCCCTTCATGGCCGACCTGTACCGCAGGCTCCCTCTGCTGCTCCTCGTAATACGTGGCATCGTCACATTGTCCAAGGTCTTCCCATGTCTCCCCCCGTCCTGCATTTGATCCACCACCTCGACTTCGCTCGTGGAATGATGTCGCAACCCAACGCGTAGCACAATTGAATGACAGCCTCCAAAGTCACCATATATTCGGGGCTGTCATCCATGTCCTTCTCTTATGTGCACGTAAATGCGCCTTCATTCGCCCCAAGGACCTCTCTTGTTGACAACGAAGAACAACAATAAACATGGCCGCCGCCACGACTGTCCTCTCCGGCGGTGTCAACAGTGCACGCCCGACCTCTCCGCAGTCCTCCATCGCCAACACTTCGATAGGAATGACGTGTCTTCGCTGCCGTGACGATTGTCGTCCCCACGAGACTTCTGCAAAGCTGCCGCCTTTGGGATGACATCGCTCTTGTCGCAAAACTATGCCGAACGACGCCTGCAACGTGGCATGTGTCGATGGTGAGGGACGCAACCACTGTGCACACTTACACACAACGCTGCATTTCTCGCGAAGGGACGCCGCCGCAAAACCCGATTCGAACATGGCCAAGTGTGCGGCTGGGGGGTGAGGGAGGATGGGGCAGCGAAGTCGGCGTTTGTGAATATGTAACATGTCAGTTTTCAAGACGGATACCTTCAACCACTCAGACATCCATCCAAAGCAAATACGCCCCTTGTACCTTTCTTTCCACTCCATCAAACACATCATTAGTGAAGATAAGATCCGGACCGGTTTTTTTCCCATCATGGGCCTGTGAATAGCAACGTTGTTCGAATTACATAAAGATATTGAGAAAGATACAAGGCAACGGAGAGTAGTGTTGAGAAAGATCGACATGGAATTAGAGGAGCACTGTTGGGGGGGCTAACCTACAGAACATGGCCAAGGGTGTGGCCGGGGGGTGAGGGAGAATGGGGCAGCGAAGTCAGCGTTTGTGAATAGAAAAGTTTCCTCTGGCTGACTCTTTGCGCCTGTGAATAGCAACGTTGTTTGAATTACATAAAGATGTTGAGAAAGATACAAGGCAACGGAGAAGTGTTGAGAAAGATTAACACGGAATTAGAGGAGCACAAAAAATAACTCCTGCGTAAGAACATTGACGAGCTCTGGCTCTACGAGGGTCTCTAGAGAGGAGGTAGATGATGACCCACATTTGGATGGGGAGGTTCTTTAGTAAGCAGCAATCTAGGGAAAGATTAAAAGAGGATTGGGGAAGAGTATGGAAAACAGATAGTTAAGAGATGGGGAGGAGAAGAAGGAGGAGAAGGAGAAGAAGAAGAAGAAGCAGAAGAAGAAGAAGAAGAAGAAGAAGAAGAAGAACAAGAACAAGAACAAGAAGAAGATGCAGAAGGAGGAGGAGGAGGAGGAGGAGGAGGAGGGGCAGCGGAATCGGCGTTTGTGAATAGAAAAGTTTCCTCTGGCTGGTTCCTTGGGCCTGTGAATAGCAACGTTGTTTGAATTACATAAAGATATTGAGAAAGATACAAGGCAACGGAGAATAGTGTTGAGAAAGATCGACACGGAATTAAAGGCGCACTGTTGGGGGGCCTAACCTACGAAACATGGCCAAGGGCACGGCTGGGGGGTGAGGGAGGATGGGGCAGCGAAGTCGGCGTTTGTGAATGGAAAAGTTTCCTCTGGCTGGTTCTTTGGGCCTGTGAATAGCAACGTTGTTTGAATTACAGAAAGATACAAGTTAATGGAGAATAGTGTTGAGAAAGATCAACACAGAATTAGAGGAGCACTGTTGGGGGGGCTAACCTACGGAACATGGCCAAGGGTGCGGCTGGGGGCTGAGGCAGCGAAGTCGGCGTTTGTGAATAGAAAAGTTTCCTCTGGCTGGTTCTTTGGGCCTGTGATTAGCAACATTGTTTGAATTACATAAAGATGTTGAGAAAGATACAAGGCAACGGAGAATAGTGTTGAGAAAGATCGACACGAAATTGGAGAAGCACAAAAAAGAACTCCTGAGAAGAAGAAGAAGGAGAAGGAGAAGGAGAAGGAGAAGAAGGAGAAGGAGAAGGAGAAGGAGAAGAGAAGAAGGAGGAGGAGGAGGAGAAGGAGAAGAATATTACAATGATGACGATGAATAGGAGAGGAGGAATAAGTAGTGGAGGAGAAGGAGAAGGAGGAGAAGGAGAAGGAGGAGGGGGAGGAGGAGAAGAAGAAGAAGAAGAAGAAGAGGGTCGCAGCTCGTTTTCTCTCTCTCTCTCTCTCTCTCTCTCTCTCTCTCTCTCTCTCTCTCTCTCTCTCTCTCTCTCTCTCTCTCTCTCTCTCTCTCTCTCTCNTCTCTCTCTCTCTCTCTCTCTCTCTCTCTCTCTCTCTCTCTCTCTCTCTCCCTCTCTCTCACACACACACACACACACACACACACACACACACAGACACACACCCACCCACCCACCCACCCACCCACCCACCCACCTGGAGTCGCGATGGCGAGCTCACGCGGTGGAGAGCAGCACGGGGTGACTCAATGACCATGATGGCGGGCTCGTGTGGCGCGTCTCCAACGGATGAACGACATGGCAGGATTGCGAGGTGCCGGGTGGGACACTTCAGGCAAAGTTCAAAGCGGGGTGGCGAGGTGGAATAGGCTTTCGCGCCGAAGTTCAGCGCCTGCTCCCAGTATGAATTGCGGCCGATCTTGTCCGCCGATCAACAAGGATCAGCGACCAAGATTGACCACCTTTTTTTCTTGCCCATTGACGGGCCTACCAGCCTCGGTTCGTGTTTCTTCCAGTGGCAGTGGGGACTACGAGCACCAAAGAAGAACTTAGGCCCCCCCAAGAAAAAACTCCCGCCCCCAGAAAAAATGCGCTGGGGCGAACCGGGAGCCGACTGGGACGGGCGACTGGCTGGTCCAACCGGGAGGCTCCCCGTCAGGGGAGGGGTCCCCAGTCCGACCGGGGACCAACACTGCCCAGAACGGATATGGAGCCAGGCCCAGAAGGACCTGCTGTTTTTTTTTTATTATTCATTTTAAGTGCCCAGGTTGTTGTAGAGGCAGGGTTTCACAGAAAAAACGAAAGAAAAGAACCACCCCATGAAATAATAGGCGCTGTGAATGGCATCATCCACTCAAGATTCCAGAAAACAATGAAGGAGAAGAATGGCGACCCCAAGTGTGTGTGGGGGTGGAAGAAGGGGAGATCGGGTGATCGACATTGCAGAATGGGTACAAACTGTCGAACCCTAAAGAATGGGTGCAAAACCTCTCAATTGATCAAAAACTTACTCTCATTGTTAACCCTCGTGAAGAAGGATAGTGTCATAGTATAGTGAGACATTGCCTGCTGTGAAGGGCAAGCAAGCATCAGGCCTGCTTTTCAAGGCTTCCAGTGCAGACAACAGAACGAGATGGGGCTACACTTTCTGGACGCCATTTGATCGTCAGACAATGACCAGCTGTGAAAATGCGCTTGCAGGAATCTATAAGACATTCATGTTCAGGGCACACAACTTGTAAGCTTAGCTTTTCAGGCAGCCAACCCTCTCTCTTGGGAGCAATCAATGCTGTGAGGCGGTTCCCTAGGTCATAATGGGGGTAAGCATCGAAGTATGCCTCCTTCAATATTCAGGAATTCCTGGCAGAAAAAGAACCAGATTATGCTCCCCATAATAAATTAGAGCCAGGACCACAAGGGCCTGTTTTGTTTTTTGTGTAAAAGAAAAAAGACAGCTCAGTTGATGGACACCGGATCTGTCGAAAGGACAAGCATTCGCTTCACCAGCCTCCGCCAAGAAAGCTCGCAAACTTTTCGAGGAACCTTAACCCTTCCAACTCAGCATGAAACCGTTTCCACCCGCCCTCTCTGAAGAAACTACCTACGCATCATCCCCCATGTCAGTCATCACAAACGATTCTCAATTTCTCACTATAGATTCACTCTCTATTCGAGGGAACGATAGGCAACATACTTTCCCACAGCCAATTGTCTAGCCCGTCTCCGTCTTGCCTCCTCTCCCCCTCTCACTGATCGTGCCCCTCTCTGTTGTCAGACGAAGTGCGGTTGAGGAAGAGTGGGCAATAACCTTACTGTTATCCGCCGAATCTCTGAACGAACAAAATATATATTGAAACAATGGAATTATATTGAACAATTACTGCCAAAGGAGTCAAATATTGGCAATGGTCAATTACAAACTCGAAGATCGGAGAACTACATAATCTTATTAATCTACCTTTTGTCCCCACCTCGTCCTCTCTTTGCACATACAGACTAAACATCACTGGTGAGTCGTGGTGACAAATTTCCCAGTGCACTGCTTACAGAAAGCATTGAATTGAGAGCCCCAGCAATGCCCAGACAATTTTGGCAATTGACATTTGAAATCGATTTAATATATATCCCCGTTTTTGTCTTACGTTCGCTAGATGTCCAGGTCACCCGCTTTCTCCAGGGATGCTTTAACAGGCTACACGTTTCAATCCTCTAAATTCTACCTCAAAAACGACAGGACCATGCTCATTTCCTCGTCCTCGTCCTCATCTTCCTCTCCTCCTCCTCCTCCTCCTCCCCCCCCTCCCTTCTTTCTCCTCTTGCTGCTTCTGGTCTTACTGCCTTTCTCACAGTGGAGTCGATTACATTCAATCAGCCTCGGGGCGTCAGGGTCGTTTGGCTTGTCAGTCTGAATTCTGAATCCTAGGAGGTTCACCGCAAACTGTACAGGTGCCCTTGTATGGGCTTGCCAACCTGGATGGGTTGGCCATGCTATGATTGTTATCTGAATTCCAGCCGTCGCTGGGCATAAAGCCTGGCTTTTGCTTTCTCCTCTAGCTTGAGACCCAATGCATCAACCACGGTGAGTGCAGACAGCCTGGCATGTATGTCTTTCTTCTCCACAGCATTACGGCACACATCAACCATAGTTTGGAGCAAGGCCACTACCTCCTCTTCATCCTCATTATCCTCATCGTCATCTTCCTCATCATCTTCGAGCTCACCCTCTGGCAAACCCATGTCAGTATCAGTCCGTCCTTCATCCTTCCATGCCCGAACCTTGGCCAGGACATGTTCACACAGAAACACGACAGACGAAAGCTGTTTGCAGAGGTCTGACATGTCACTGACAGTCCTTGACAGTGTCCTGAGGGAGATGAGATTTTGCAGAATCTGTCGTTCCCAGCCTCTGCCTGTATCTTTCCCACGGCTGCTGCTGCAACTCTCACTCCCACTCCTGCTTTTCAATTCTGGATCTTCCATCGTTTCGATGGAGCGCAGCAATGCCAACGGCTCATTGCGCATCATCGCTTTGACAGTCTCAGGACTAGGAGTGAAACATTTACTACTCCCTCCACTGCTTGATCCTTGCTTAAGAAGCTGTCTGCGGGAAAGCTTTCTCAGAAGCGGAGGGGTGCCAGAGCTGGTCCCTGTGTCCCGACTTGGAGCAGACTTGCTGAGTGCAAGACTTGATCTGCTGGATTCGTCAGCAAGGCGAGCTGGCTCATCCCTGTTATGTTTACCGTCCCTCTCTCTTTGCCTCTCGTTAATCCATACCCCACCGCCAGATTCCCACTCTTTGTCCAGCGCTTCCTCCCTTTCCCTGGCCCACCTTCCAGCTCTCTCACCAGCCTGCATCTGTGTTCTAAGAATGGCAGCTGCACCTGAAAGTGGGTGGACGCTCAACTCCTGCCATGGCCCAGGAGGGTCATAAACTTCGCTTGGCTGGGAGCTCCCATCCGCATACGACATTGGAGCGTTTGAAGCATCTGCAATTTCCGATACCTCTTCAACGACAATCTCCTGTCCGCAAGAGTTGGCCCCAGAGTCCACCATTGCTGATGCTGTGGCACGAATGATTTCAGAAGAGGAAAGAGCTGAACCACTCCCATGGCCCTGTTCTGCTCCTTCCTCCTGATTGACCATATGAGCGGATAGCGATGATGAGTTACCCCCACTTGCATTAGGCATGGCCACTGGGACCCTGGTATTTGCAGCATAGCTACTCAAGCTCAATGAGTGGAGGCCTCCTCCCACAACACTGGTGGTGGGTTTCACCATTGATCCTGCCATAGTGGTGCTAGTGGATGCAGTCGTTGTGCTCATAACAGCTGTTACACTCACCTGGTCATTTCCAGCTGAAGATGATTGCCCATCAAGACTATTTGGTACGTGCTGGCACTGTGAAATGGCCTCAGCTGTTGCTGCGGTTGAGTATGAAGCGCTAGAGCTGCTGTTACTACTCATGCTGAGCCGCATTCCACTGACAATATCTCGGAGTCGAGTGCAGGACGTCATACCGGTGCATCCCTCCAAGGAAGTTTGTAACGAAGCTGACGAGGAGAGCCGTTCTCGATGAACCTGCTCGATGAGGGGGAGCCTCTCAAGGAGAATTCCAGATAAGTCGTCTACATCCGGGCCTGTCATTGGTTGGTCTAGAAGGAACTGCACACCCCTCAGTGACGCACAGTGCCTGTTGAGCTTCACCAACAGTGATTGGTGGAGATCCCTCGATGCACAATGTACGGTGTGCCGGTGTGGGATACTAAACCGTATCCCTCCAACACTCGCTGGCTGTGCAGAGATGATTGTCACCTGAAGCCTTCCCTCGACGCCAGCAACTGATGTTATCTCTGTTGTGTTTCACAAAACAAGTTTAAATAACTTTCGACTTTTAGGAATCCATTTGCTTCACAAAAACAAGCTCAGAATCTTCAGAGTTTGGATAACAAGTTTTAATTTCCACATCTTCCACCAACAACGAAGAAGGAGAAGAAGAAGGAGAAGGAGAAGAAGAAGGAGAAGGAGAAGAAGAAGGAGAAGAAGACGAAGAAGACGAAGAAGACGAAGAAGACGAAGAAGGAAGAGGAGGAGGAGGAGGAGGAGGAGGAGGAAGAAGAAGAAGAAGAAGAAGAAGAAGAAGAAGAAGAGCGAGGAGGAGGAGGAGGAGAGGGACAAGGGGGAACAGCAGGGCAAAGCAGGCAAACTTGCAACAGACATGCATCACCAAGACCTGTAGTACAGTTCTCTCAGGGGCAATCTCATTCGAGATGCAAACCTGTTACCATGATATCCTGTTGACATCCAGTGTGTTCCTCAAACATGTTCTCCTGGAACATAATATTCTTCGAGGTGCTGAATCTGCTGATCCTTGCAGCCAGAGTGAATGGGGGCCATGTTTGGACCAAGCGGGCATGAAATTTCCTTACACTTGTTGAACTCTTTTTCTTTTTCGTCTCTTGAATCTGACTCTCTTCCGAAAAAGGTCCTTCCTGGCTCCGTATCCATTCTGTGAAGCACCAGTTCGGTTCCTCATCTACCAGAAAGTCATAGGAACTACACACAATGACACACCCGTGCTTCCTTTCATGAAGGCCAACGGACCCCTGAACAACATAGATTACTCCTAACAAGCGGATGCCTGCCGCGGCTATGCCTGTGGTGGACATCTGCTCCTCCTCCCGACCACGCCACCCAAAAAAAAACATGTGGCCTTGGGTTGGACGGTATCATCCGGTGTGGGTGACTATGCGGACTGGGCAGTATCACATGGACTGGGTGGCATCTTGCAGGGCAGGTCATACCATGCGGAGAGGATGGTATTTACACACACAGATGGTACCATTGGACTGTGCGCCACCATGTGGGGAAAGCAATACTATGTGTACTGATACTAACACACACTCTCAAACAAAAAGAAAAAGACAGACACGGCCACGGAAAGAAAAGACACACGGCCAACATCAGGCACAATTCGGTGTCACAAGGTTGGGTGGTACTATGTTCGGCAACTCATACTACATGGACTTGGTGGCACCACGCGGACAAGGCGGTTTTATGTGACCTGGATGATAGGCTCTGGCTTTTTGGATTAGCTCCATAATGGTATGGTCTGGTATGGTCCGGATCGAGGCTATGTACCACATCATCGAAAATATTGACGTCTTGATAAGTTGATAGTCAAAGCCCGACCCAATAATGAGGTGAATGTGTTGCCCCATCTCCACATTCTACTGACCTGATTGGTCAAGAGGTCTTGTGCCATCTTGTGCCACCTGTGGGGCAGGCCCTCGGCCTTGCGATATCATTGTCGAGCTGAGCGATGCCAGATAATTTAGAATCAGGTAATATCATTCATCTAGTGCCATCTGCGTTCGAACTCAGGTCTGTATTTCAACAGTTTCATTGGTGTACCAACTGAGCTAAGCTCGTTTCCCCTCTGTCACGTATGAGGTCATAGCTCAATTGTAGGCAGGCTACTGATAGCTCATCAGCAAATGCTTGCAGAAAATAAGACAGCGAATCCGTTTTGCTCTGAACAAAAAAAGGAGGAAAGGGAATCACATGGCATGTTGGACTTACCTCCAAACTTGACATGCCATCGCAGACAACGGTTCAGAATGTGAAAGTATATGATCCGCACATCTGTGAAAATGACTGCTTTGCTTTTCTTTGTTTGGATGTAGTCAACAACTGTCTCATCCCTATACCTTCCATGGTCAAGGAGATCCAGCATGCTCCGGAGCACAGAGAAATCACGTGGTTGCACCTGCTCAGGGACAGGAGTCAAAAAAAAAAAAACAGTCCTTGTCGATTAATCAATTACTCATGAAGTCATAACCAATCAACCAAACGCTTGACAACTACCAGCACATCCACACATCCACACATCCACACATCCATGCATCCACGCATCCACACATGCACACATGCACACATCCATGCATCCACGCATGCACACATGCACACATGCACACATGCACACAACCAACAACACCCACAACACCCACAACACCCACAACACCCACAACACCCACAACACCCACAACACCCACAACACCCACATGTCACAGCCTTACAAGGTAACCAACCTATAAGCCAGCACACTAACACACCAACACACCACACCAACACACCAGCACACCAACACTAACACACCAACACACCAACACACCAACACACCAGCACACCAACACAACAACACATTGACACACCTACGCACACACACACACACACACACCAGCACACCAACACACCAATGCACCAACACACCAATGCACCAACACACCAACACACCAATGCACCAACGCACCAACACACCAATGCACCAACACACCAACACCAACACCAACACACCAAGAAAACATCACCACAGTTGAACTGGTGAAAGCACCAACAAACCAATAAAGAAGTGTTAAATCAAGAATGGTGAATACAAGCCAGCCTATGTGGCGGAATGGTAATCAGATCACGAGCTTGGATCCAGAAAAGATCAGAATGATACACAAAAAAAAAGAAGCATAGTGGACACGTCGACATACCAATACATCAGCCGGCAAATAAAGGAGTGTTCTCTTTTTTTTTATTAATTTAAGACAGAACCTCTGGGCTCTGGCTCCTACCAGACTGGGGAGCGACAGTCCGGTTCCTTTTTTTTTCTTCAAAACAGAACCTTATGGTTCTGGCTCCTTTTCCATTCTGGGGAGCGTCAGTCTGGTTCCTATTCCACCGGCAAGTCAAAAGAAAATACATTGAGAACACTCTCACGCTCCTCCATTCTGGGGAGCGATGGTCCGGTTCCTATTCCCCCGGCAAGTCAATTTGGAATACATGAGCGCTTCACGCACGCTCCTCCCCATTATGGCTGGGAGGCCTGAGTGGATGACATTGATTACTTCCCTGAGGAAGGATGTACCACCCCTCACCCCTGCCTAATTTAGCCTTTGCTACTTATTTTTCTGGATGCTGTCTGACTGTCTGGCCACCATCCTGTTCCTCTCTGCTGAGCTGTTGTTGAGCTGATGTAATAGACTAAAGGTGTCTGGTACCTATGTGGTCGTCCTGGAATCTCTATCGCTTTTAGTTCTGCTTATCTTCTTTCTGTCTAAACCCTAAACCCTAAGCCCTCGGCTGTGTATATCATGATATTGTGTGGTTGATGGGGTTGGTGTCGCTTGGCAGGGGGTTGTTTGGATTCAGTGGGGGTATTCTCGAAGGGGCCAGAGTTGAGGCCTAGGGGGTAGTTGAGTTGGGTGATTTTCAGCTGCTGTAGTGTGTAGGGTACTGCAGGGCGGATGTGTAGGAGGAGTGCAGAGGGAAGGGGAGGGTAGGGGTGATAGGAGGCTGAGGTGGTATGGTATCGGGTGCTTGGGGTTGGGGGGATGGTGGAGGGGGTTGGCGGGATTGATGGGGGAAGCGGAGTTTTTGGTGTTTCAATAGTGGATTGGTTGTGGGTGGTGGGTAAGGGGATGGGTTTGTGTGGGGTAGGAGGGTTGTAGGGATGCTTTATATTTGTGTTATGGTTAGCCAGGTTTTGAGGGTTAGTCTGTCGTTTACGATGGTGCCGAGTAGTCCATTACCTAGTTTGGAACTTTGGATGTCCATAATTTTTGGATTGCTAGGTTCTTTTTGTCGGGATCGGATGGGAGCTGTTTTAGTTGTTGTTTCCAGAGGGCGTGGATTTCTGTGTCTATTAGTTGTCTGATAATGATGAGTGGGTTTTCTGTGGTAGTGAGTCAGTCTTCGAAGGTGATATTGCATCTGTTTTTCCATATGGCCCATAGGGTGCTTTTTATGATTTGGGAGGAGAGGAAGGTTTCAAAGCTTTTTAGTGGGGGTGTTTGTTTGAGGTTGAGGAATAGTGTGGCCGGGTTGATTAGTAAGGGGGAGTTTGAAATTTTGTGCCACGATGCTTCTAGGGCTTGCCAGAGGGATCTGGCCTTTGGGCAATCAATGAAACAGTGGTTCAAGGATTCAGGGGCTTCGAGATTGCATACTTTGCACCAGGAGTCTTGTTCCAATCTGTTACCTTGATTGCGTCGATTGGCTAACCATTGATTTACTGGGACAGCTCTGAAGGCTATTAACCATCTCAGGCTGGCAAGTTTAACCGGTCTTGTGGAGAAGATTGTTGCCCAGGGTAGTTTGAAGTCGGAGTTGGCTAGTTGCGGTTCCTCTTTTGTCCACCTGTTGCGTACTGTATTGGATATTGATATGGGTTTGGCGAAGAGTCGGTAATCCAGTTTGCGTGTGTAGTCAGTTAGCTTGTAAGAGTTGGAGGTGAGGGAGGATCCAGATGGGGAGTTCCATGTCCATTCAGTGGGGTCTACCTCTAGGTCAAACACGCTGGTATGGGGTTCGTAGACTCTTTTCCTTTCTCCTTTTAAGATTTTGATTCTCCTCAGGTTGTTGCTTTTGAATGCTCCTGCTCTGCTCTTTATATTGATGAGGCTTACCGGGTTTCCTGGTTCTTCTAGGGTGTGTATGTCGCAGCATATCCATCTGTTGTTGCGGGGTTCGTAGTTCCTGAATGATAGAACTTCTTGGATTGGTTGGGTGTTACGTGGTGGTGGCCCAATCCCCATATTGCCATTTCTGATCCGATTTTAGTAGGGATCGCCAGTGTAAAGGGATGCAGTCTACAATGTGGTCTAGGTTAGCTTGTAAGTGATGTACGCCCTTTAGTTTGTTTTGTAGGTTTCTTTCTGCTTTCCAGACTTCGTTTTGGTCATCCCAGATGTGTTTGATTTGCCATATTCCCTTTTCTAGCCAGTGTCCCCATTTGGGATCTGATTTCAGGAGTGGGAGGCTTTCCCCTTTATCATTCTTGATTAGTGGGTTGCTAAAGAGGGGTTGTCTAAGGACTTTGTCTTTTTTCTTTGGGCCTATGTTGTTTTCTGGGAAGATGATTCTCCAAATATGTAGAATTCGCTGCCAGAGGGATTTAGTCTGGGGGGTGTCTTTAGTGTTCAGATGGAGTGTTTGGTCGGGTAGTCTCTGATTCCTTCTAGGTAGTGGCCAGTATTTGCTGAATATCCAAAATAGGTCTGTCATGTTGTTTGGGGAAGTAGATGGTGCAAGTTCTCTGATATGATTTAGGGCTAGGGGGGTCCACTGTAGGTTGTCTTGAAGGGCTAGTCTTATAATCCATTTGATTTGTAAGGTTTGTATTTGGCGGGCTGGATCTATAAGACCAAAGCCTCCTTTACTCTTAGGGCTGGTGACTATCTGCCAGGCCACCTTGTGGATAACGTGTTGCTTGTCTGGATTACCTGTCCATAGGAAAGCTGTTGTTTTTCACTTCAACTGACTGTGAAAGTCAGTAGCTGGGAACCATATGGTTGTGGAATACCACATCATTGCTAAGATAGAGTTATTGAGAGCTAGTACCCTGCCTAGAAGGGAAGTGTGTGTGGCTTTCGAGGTATGCATCCTATTAATCATGGAAGATAGGAGCGTCGCTGCCGATATTTGGTGGCATCATTTGAGATTAATATTGATGCCCAGGAAGCAGATTGGTGATTCTGGATCTGTCCAATGTAGACCCGATGGGGAAAACTCCATGGGAGGCGGTGCTTCTGCGGTCCACCACCCTATTGTTTTGGTCCGGTTGACTTTCATTTATGAGGCCAGTTGGAAAGCTTGCATTGCTCTTATTAGGGCTTGGAAGGAGTAGTTTGAATCTCTGATCAGAACTATGAGGTCATCTGCGAAGAGGAGGGTAGTGGGGAGATGAAGGCATTGACCACGTTCATCCTTGATGTTTTCTAGCCTCTCGATGGATCCATCCTTTCTTAGAACATGACGAAAAGGAAAATCGGTGCTGCTAGTGGGTCCCCTTGCGTTACTGACCTTGACATTGGGTAGGGGTTCGAGAGGAAGCCACTGACTTGGACTATCCCTTGTGCGTCATTGTAGAGTATTCTCGCCCATTTTCGATAAACGGGTCCTACTCCCATTCTTTCCATGCTGGCCTGAAGAAAGTCCCAATTAACTTGGTCATATGCTTTTTCAAAGTCGAAGAAGAAGATGGCAACAGCGATCCGTTTTTGGTTAATTATTCTTGTTGCTTCGCGT